CTTAGTACAACTACCCTGAACTGCCACAGGGTGTTTTTGTTTCCCACAAGCTTTGCTTGCTTTCCTAACCTCTTGGTAGCACTAGGGAAATGCGAAACAAACATCCCTCTTAAAAGCAGGTCTTTGATTAGTACAGCTTCATGAAGTGCAAGCTGTACACTGAAGGAGTCACCAGTACCGGGGCTACCTGATGGTTGCTGAATAAAGGGGTATAGTTGGTAGGATGTAAGCAAGGAGGACTGGGGAAAGAAGAGATGTCATGGGAGAAGGGACCTATTGTACCTGGACAAAAGGAACATCTTCGATCAGCCCATCTCCCTCATGAGCCTTACCAAGCTGGGATGTAGAAGTTGCTTTGTTACAAAGCCTGGGACATCCTGGGCGCAACAGAAAAGATCTTTGCAGCTCCTCCATCTGGGGCTTGTACTCCGATTCAAAGGAGCTAATGGCTCTGATATCAGCCTGGCAAACAGGAGGAAATGGAGGCACCTCATTTAGAAAGTGCTTTGTGATGGCAGATACCTGGAGTCAGGTGTGTGGGATAATGCTGTGAATCCACGAGGGCCAGGCAGAGGATGGGAAGTTCAGAGCAGCTTGTTCTCCTGGCTGCCCAAGAGCATCTTCCTTTGGAACCTACAAGGGACAGAAGCTGTGGTCTCAGGGCCCCCTTCCCTACCCCCATCTTGCAAGGTGCTGGGTCCTTCCTACAGGGACTCAGCACCTCCCAACGCTGGCCCTGAGGAATTGGCATTCCTGGAGCAGCTCCTGGTTGGCCTCTCCCCCAGAGTTGCCCTGTCTGGGACATGGTGTGCACCATTGCCCATCTAAGTACTTGGTTCTCATAGTAGCGCTGGATGGCCTGGGCTGATTTGCTGAGGGCAGATCTGCCTCTGGGAAGCTTCCACACGGGGCTCTGCTGCCGTCGGCTGCTCAGTTCCTGCAGCTCACCAAGCCCCTTAGCCAGCAAGTTCATCTTGCCAGCAGACCCTGGATGCTGAAGACTAGAGCAGGCGATGGACAGGGAGCCTGGGGGGGTAGAAAAGCCCAGTTAGACCATGCTGCTCCTCCCTGGTGCTGCTGCTTCCTGTCTCAGCCCTTGTCATCAGGAGTTTTGATGCTATTCTGTATTGAGGGAAGGATCTTGCAGCGGTGGCACAGGACAGGCCAGCAGCCTGGTGCTGTTGGGATAGGCACAGCAACCTTGCTTGGGGCAAGTGCTGCCATGGTGAGCAGCAGGCTCTGCAGAGGGCAGGCCCAGAGCAGCCATGGCCAAATGCCAGCACAGGCCTTGCACAGGCAGCATGGCTGAGGGCTTGCCCTGCCTTGTTCGTGTGTAGGCCATTGCCTCGGCTAGATGCTCATCCCACCAATGTGTGAACTTTAATAGGGGCCACTGGCTCTACCCCACAACCCACCCCCAAGGCCTGACCCTAAATGAGGTGGCCCCTGGGGCTGCAAAGGGGCCACGTACCAAGGTTTGCCCAGCTCTTGAGCATGCGCAGCCCTGTGCCCTGCTCCCCTTGGACCCTGCTGACATGGGCAGATTAATGAATGTGCAAGCTGGGCACGAGCCCAGGGACCCCTACCAATTTGGGGCTCTGACTCCAGGATCCTTATCAGCAGGGAAATGAAAGCCGCAGCTTTAAACCCGGTGCCCATTTTTGGCACCCAGTTTCAAACTGCGGCTTTCACATTTACTTCCCTGGGGCCTAGAGGTGAGGCCCCTCCACCAATGGGGCTGGGGGGGGCAGAGCTGGGGTCGGGCCGGGACAGCCACGCTGGGCCTGGAGGAGGGGGCTGAGCCGGGATGGGGGAGCTGTGTCCTACCTGGGGTTGGGCTGGGCCAGGAGCACTGTGCCATGCTGCGCCTCTGTGGGTGGTGGCGCTGGGAGGGCCTTGGGGGCTAGAGCCCCCCACCAAATTCATCTTGGCCCCGCCGCAGCCACCCCTCCCCGTGCCACCGCCCGCCCGCAGAGACGTGGCGTGGTGCTCGCGGCCGGCGCGCAGCAGCTCCCTGCAGGCCAGTGCAAGGGGGCCGGGTGGGGAGCGACACTGAGCCGTGGGGGGGACTGCCTCCGTGTGATCGGGAGCGGGGGAGAGGGGAGGTCTTGTGAGGGAAAAGTGTGTGTGTGTGTGTGTGTGTGTGTGTCCCTCCCACAGCTTCAGGAGGCACCAGTTGTTCATGGAGGCAGGCGTGTCCCCCCCTCCCCAGCCCGTCGGGG